TCCCATGTCCGGGCATGCTGCTTGTTGTCCTCCAAGGCAGCCCAGAACTGGGTGTCCGAACGGCGTGGCTTAACCACGCCGTGGCGAAACCCCGGTGCGTCCTCATATACCGCCTTGGATCGGTGGCGGTTCTGAAGATATAGAAGTGACGGATCACTGGGGCCGGGGTGTGGGGTGTAGGGTCGAGGGTTCGAGGATGACGAAGCCATTTTCTGAAAAAATGACCGAGATTGTACCAATTGTTAATTTTGAAATGACCGAGATTGATATATTATTTAATAAATATTATTCATTTTTTGTGTATCTAATTACGCAGATCGTGTAATTGCGATAGATATCATTTTTTGTATTATTTATAATTTTGAATATATTTACTTAATTACTATATGATTTATATTTTAGAATATAATTTATTCAATTAATATAAATATTTATAAGTTAGAATATAATTACTTAAATATACATAATTTAATGATATTATAAATTATAAGTAATATAATAATTCAATATTTATATTTTATAATAATTGAGTAAATAGATTCTAATATATTACTTATAATTTATATCTATCATTATATTATTTATTTTTTAGAATATTTTTTCTTAATTGTTATATTATTTATAATTTAAATTTGTTTATTAAATTATTATATTATTTTAAAATTTATAATCTATTTTATTAATTATTATATCATTTATAATTTAGAATATTTATAATTTAAAATAAATTTATTTAATTATTATATATTAGTAATTTAGAATATATTTATTCAATTATTATATTATTTATAATTTAGAATATATTAATTTAATTATTAAGTATTAGTAATTTATAATCGAATTACATAATTATTATATTATTTATAAGTTAGAAAATATTTCTTAACTATTACATTATTTATAATTAATTATATATATATATACTTAATCAAGATATTATTAATAACTTAGATCTATATATTTAATTAATACATTATTTATAATTAATTGTTAAAGCAAGGGTATAATCATAAATTCATTGACAGCAGGGTATAATCGTAAATTCATTGATAAAGCAGGAGTATAATTGTAAATTAAACAAAAAAATAACGCCGTTAGTATTAAAGTAACGGTGTTAACATAAAGGGGCGAGTCTGCATGTAAACATTAAATACAAGGGGGTTTGACGCAATTTTTGAAATATTAGGGTAAAACGCATAGATTTCATATAATATAAGGGGATTTGGTGCAATAAACCCAATAATAATGTCGCTGACGTAAGCAATAAAAAATAACTCAATATTTTAAGACTTCTATTTTTTGCCCAAGTATAATATTTTTATTTCTCATTACGAAATTACTCAATTAGCCATTCAAATATTAGATTCCATCACAGTACAATAATAATCCAGATCCAAATACGGATCCTCTCATAACCATTACAGATGAGAATAATATATATTCAATAATAGCCATGAACCTCAAGTTACAAAAAACATTGAGCAACAAGAAATTTACATTCATACAACTTATGTCATTCAAAAACAAAAAATCCCGCCATCTAAATCTATTTTCAACTAGACTAACTATGATTCATAAAACAATAAGATCAACCCATTGCCTCTGCTAATTATAAACCGGTGGAGACACAAAAAAACCTCAACCAGTCATTTTAATTAAGTCCGTCCTAGCTAAGCAAGGGTTTATACAAGTCATTTCTTGCCAAACTTGGAACAATTGTCCCAAAATAACCGAACCCAGCTATTGCAAAGAAGATAGACTGAGGGAAAAGGTAAATGTAATATCTGTCGGCACTGTAGAAGATATTGTAAAACCCACATGCGAAAAGAATCAACGACAGTAAAAGCTCCTGTGGCTGTATTCTGGAAGGTCATTATACGAAAGACTATATATTAGTCGGAATAAATTTATATTCTGAAGAACATATTAATATGATCACATATATATAATCTCACTCTTAGAAATTTAGCACAAAGTAGGTTGCCGAAAAATGTTGCATTCAGAACGAATCACTTGAAGAAGCTAATTTTGCTAGCCACGACAGACGTTTAGAGAAATAAAATTAAAAAAAAAAAAAAAAAAAATCACCTTTCTCTAAGACGATTTTTCTGGTTGGGCTCTTTTTCTGAGCTTGATTCAGGATTGGGTTTGTTCTTGATGAGGGCATCTCCAAGTTTTTCAGTCACAACCCATTCATTTGCCCTCTTAGCCTCGAATAGACCAATGAATAAAGCCTTGCTCCTGTGAAATGACATTACGTTCTCAAAGAGAAGCCAAGGTATAGCCAGATGTAGTGACCTGAAAATTTCAAAAGATCAACTTTTTCACCCTTCTCACAATTCTAGTTCAACTTTTAAAAGTTTTTCGATTAAACACACCAACTTCTATATTTTCTCTTTATTGCCTTTTCAAATGCAGTTTAATGACAAGTTGCAGTCTAACCTTTCTTCCTTATTTTCATATGTTTTGCAGCGTAATACCAGAAAGTTGGAGTGAATTTCAAACATTTTTATGTTGAGCTGGAATTCATCAAAAGCGGGATGTTTTGAGGCAGCCTCTGTAGTTATTTCATAAGAACTTTTGATACAAGAAGAAAGAAAGAATTTACATCAGACCTTGGAGTTGCGACCAACGTGTTAATGGTGGCAATTATAAAAGTGGCCAAAATGGCTCCCCATTTAGGAACATCAGCTTCAGGAATCAAACTCACCAAAGGCAGAACCACACAGTAAAAGGAGAAAGTGAACATGGTCCCAACAATCTTCCGTACGAAGAAGAAATTGTATATTATGTAAAACTTTGTCCAGATTGACACTTCCTGTTAAAAAAAAAAAAANNNNAACGGCGAACCAACCATTTCTATTTACTGCTATTCAATTACCTTTAAGTATCTCAATAAAGATCCAAAAATTATACTCAAGTAACACAACTCGAGCGAACCTTGTTTTTCGAAATCTCAATCACCATTTTCCGGAATAGATTGGCTGGCCCACAGGCCCACCTATGCTGTTGAGAGCGATAGGCCATGAAAGTGCTGGGGAGTTCACTTTTAACCTGTTCAAAAGCTTAAAAATCAAATCTTTACTGCTTATGCTTACTTATCTGTGTCTGGCCAAACATCAAACTTTGGCAGGCAAAATTAATGAAGTTACAAGACCTCTATTGTAACTTACCTCAAGGTCTCCTAGAAAAACATATTTCCAGCCCTTGAGGCCAGCTCGAATGGCAAGATCCATGTCCTCTACTGTTGTTCGGTCATTCCATCCACCGGCCTCGTTTATGGCTGCAATTCTCCATATTCCACCACTTCCTGAGATTTTTTTTTCAGCTAATTTAATCACACAAGTAAAAAAATTTCATACCTGAAAGTCTAGAATTTTTCCTTTTTTTTTTTTTTATCCATAGTACATCGATGGGAAAACTTCAATTGATAAAAAAATCAGGGGACGCTTGAAAATAGGAATGCAAACTGTTCTGTTTCATGTCTATTGTGATGAATAATTTGTTTTCTGGATTTTCTTACCGGCGAGATGGCTTGGTTATTAGCTCAACTAATTTGTCTTGTCTTGGATGGTAAAAAAAGGTTACCGTTAAAGCTGAAAAATGAATGAATGGATGAGCCTCCTTCTTGCTCGATTACAAACTGATAGTCCAGTGACATTTCCTGCATTCTTGTCAAGAAGCATTCATCTGCATTCACTGCCAAATAAGCCAAACAGTTGAGAAGCAAAATCATTTCAACCCTTATTAGAGGTTTCAAGTCTGAGTGATGAGAAAATAAGAAAATAACAATAGATGCTTCATTTTTTTTTTCCCCTTTTGCTTTGAAGCTATATCTGAAGTTCACAGGTAAATGACATCTAGCAAAAGGCATCCAAAGAATTAGACAATGATATCCAATATTTAATACCATAATGTGCAACTAATTGCAAAAGCCTAGACATTTATATAGAAAGCTTCATGCTCAACTTCGTGTGTAAGTGCTCCTTACATTGCTGGACATTTTAAAACTGCCTCCCAATATCGACTCAAACTCTT